GGCTACGACCCTAGCAAGCCAACCAATCACATTCTCTACCTCGACGCCAACAACCTGTACGCCTGGGCCATGAGCCAGTATCTACCCACAGGGGGATTCGAATGGGCGTCACATGAGGTCGATGTTATGAGCATCGCGTCAGATTCTAACAAAGGTTATATCCTCGAGGTTGACTTGGAGTACCCCAAGGCATTACACACATCACACAACAGCTACCCCCTCACCCCCGAACGTATGAGGGTTAACCCAGACTGGATGTCTGAGTACCAACGTAACTTATTAGGTGGGCTGGTGGCAGACGTTGAAAAACTCGTGCCTAACTTAATGAATAAGACCAAGTACATCGTTCACTATCGCAACCTACAGCTGTACCTGTCGTTGGGTATGAGGCTGACTAAAATACACAGGGTGCTCGTGTTCGACCAGAGCCCATGGATGGAGCCCTACATCAGAATGAACACAGACCTCCGAAAGCTTGCCACCAGTGACTTTGAGAAAAATCTCTACAAGCTCATGAACAACTCGGTGTTCGAGACTATGGAGAACCAGAGGAAACGTGTGACCGTGAAGCTGGTTCGGTTGAATGAGGAAGACAAGCTCAGGAGACTGATAGCCAGTCCGGCATTCAACCGTAGCAAAATATTCACCGATGACCTAGTTGCCCTACACATGAAGAAAAGCCACATAAAATTCAACCGACCTGTTTACGTGGGGATGAGCATCCTCGATTTATCCAAACACCTGATGTACGACTTTTACTACAACGAGCTTAAGAAACAGTACGATGACAGGTGTGAAGTGCTGTACACTGACACGGATTCCCTGCTGATGGAGATTCGAACCGAGGACGTGTACGAGGACATGAAAAAACACCTCGATTTGTATGACACCAGCGACTACCCCAAGGACCATGCCATACACAGCACGGTAAATAAAAAAGGTTCTAGGTAAGATGAAGGACGAGTGTGCTGGCACGCCCATAGCCGAGTACATAGGTTTGAGGCCTAAGATGTATTCCATCCTGAAGGCCGACAATGGTGAGATCCGGAAGGCTAAGGGTGTTAAGAAGTACGTGGTGAAACAACACATCAAACACGCCAGATTCAAGGAAGCCCTGTTCAAGACCCGTACTTTTAGACATAAAATGAACACACTTAGAAGTGATGGTCATAAGATATACGGACTGACTATAAACAAGACGTCCCTGTCGCCTATGGACACTAAACGTTGGATAGCTATTGATGGGATAAAACATGACATGAGAAAATTGAACCAAGAACATAGATACAAATATCGGGACGACATGTCACGGAACCAGAGAAAGTTTGAGGCTATTTACTATAGCCCGCGTGGGTACTGGAAAGGAGCTAGCGCTGTAGATAAGCTGGCTAAAATGGCGCGAGTACCCCCGGAGGAAGCCAAAGCGTGGCTTGAAAAACAAGCCCTGTGGCAGATCTATTTACCGCCACCACGCTACGTGCCTAGAAGGAAGTTCGGAATTAACATACCTAATAACGTTCACCAGGCAGACCTACTGTTCCTACCCCACGATAAGAGGTACAAGTATGCCTTAACCGTAGTGGATGTAGCCAGTCGCTACAAGGAAGCCGAGCCCTTGACCACGAAAGATTCTGCCCAGGTAGCCAGAGGATTCGAACGCATATACAAACGCAGTCCGCTGACGTGGCCAACAGAGCTGCAAGTTGACCCAGGGCCGGAGTTCATGGGTGCTGTGTCACAACTGCTAGCCAAACACGATACAAAGGTCAGGCGTGGCACGGCCGGAGCCCATCACAGCCAAGCCATAGTTGAGAGATTCAATAGGACTTTGGCTGAGCGCTTATTCGGACATCAGTATGCTAGGGAGATGGCCAACCCAGGGAAGCGATCGACTGAATGGGTCACAAGGTTGCCTAAGGTTCTGTCGGCAATCAACCATGAAGTCACCCGGCTCACTGATAAGAAACCGGCAGACGCTATAAAATTAAAATCAATAGTTGCAGAGTCGGCTGCTCCATTGCGTGGAAAAGAGAAACAGATACCAGATAGGGTCCTAGTTAGGTATCTATACCAGCCGGGGGAACACGAGGGTGATAGCCGTAAGCGAGCCACTGACCCAATATGGTCAATCAAAACTTACAACATAGATAAAGTTGACATCAAAGCAGACGAGCCGAACTTGTACTACTTGAGGGATGGGCCAGGGAGAGGACTCGTTAGAGAGGAATTATTGATCATACCGTACGGCACAATGTTACCTCCTGTCAACACGGCATAGATGAACTTCAGCCATGTCTCCGGTAGTTAAGCGGCGCTTACATGTGGAGTTCGTATCCCGCTAGCGGCCCAAACTTTTTTATAGTAGGGGTAATGGTAGCAAGACCTAAGGGTCCGACCAAAGCCTTATTTGGGGAATAAGGCTTTGCAGAGGCTTTTGTTGGAACTGGTCCCGGACAATCATTCTCTCTACTACTACTCCTTGATTCCCACTAAAATCAGAAGTGTTACCGCAACATTATTCCTCATACGTGTTCTCGCTGTTTGAAAATAAAACCTTGCAACTTTTGATTAACTGTAAACTTTTACATCACTATGGAGTTTTTCGTTCTACTTATTGCAGAAAAAAAGCGAAAAAACCCCAAAACATTGATAGTAAGACTTAGTAAAAAGATGCATGACGTTTGACAAAAATCGACCCGTGAAGGTCCGGGTTGGAATATTGATCTTCAGTAACCCATGCTTGTCGTAAGAGGCGACTTACGGGATCGGCTGGTCAGGCTCGCTGACTTGGTTGACACATTTCATCGGCTCCCAATTGCGCAGATCGATGCTCATGCTGTTGATCACTTGATTGTCTGGTACAGCCTCGATTATTAACAGACCGACGCCATATAGCTGGAATATTTTGAGTGCGGCGTAAAACCCAACTCACTCACTCACTCGACAAAAAACATTCTCTTATTGAACCAGAAAATATTAGGTTGTATTGAATAATGTCACACAGTAATATATGCTTGCACATAATCTGCATGCTCTTCATATGTACACAGAGATGGGCTTTACACATTGTACGTATCTGCCGAATCGAACCTGGGTGTACAGCGTGGCGAGAGAATGTAATAATCACTAGGCTACCCCACCGCCCAATTTACTAAGGATCATCCCTACATTAACAATGATGACAAAACAACAGAGTATGACTAACATTCTCTTTATACAAACTATTACAAAGGCGTAATGATGTCCGTGATGTTGTGTGCATCAACATCCCCCGATTCACCATCTTTGAGGTACTCACATGTATTTTGTACAATGATGTCAAAGAACATTAACGGGTCTTGCTCAAACAGTGTTTGAACAGGGATACAATATTCAATGAATGTTTCGTTAAGCTTTATGGCTGGCACGTTGGCGACACAGCGAAAACTTTCGCACAAGTGACAAAATTATCTCACCCCGACTTGTACCATATGTTCTTGTCTTTCTTCAGGTGACTTGCCTTTGCATGTGTTAGTGACGAGTTCCACTGGTGGGACAGGAAGCGCTCACATGTGATACCGTCACCATTGACAGTGCTCATGATCGCACAATCGATTCCAGTTTTAGAAGATAGAAAGGCTTTCTCACACGTGTATATATGTAACATTTGCAGATATGGTTGGAAATATATGTATTGCATGCATGTACTACATTGATGCAAATACAACGCATTCAGCTTCACGCCTTTTAGTAACCTAAGTTCATTTTAGGGGCAAAAGATATACACTGGTACCCAGAGACGTGTTGAAGATACGCCGCACATCTGTGAATGATAACTGCTAGGGACTATGTTTATACTTTGCATCCAGTTTGATATTTTTTTTCGGTATACTGTGTTACAAAAAACAAAAGTCGATATAATAATGGAATAGAATAATGACAAAAGATCTGTATGAATTGCTATGCTTAAGTCAGCTCCAGTATATATACACAAAACCAAGATCGTTTTTGCCATCTCGTGCCATTAGAGATATTACACAAGGTAACTTCAGGTCACAGGGCACACATTTCAGCACGTGTCACACACACCGTCCACTGATGCCAACTCATTAAGATACTGTTCATTGAAAGTCATGTAAGTGTGAGTCATGCATAATTTTCATTGAAAGCAACACAGTTGTAACATTCAGCTCCGCAGTCACAGCGGCTTGCAGTTAAGGTAGGGGAAGGGTTTTAAAAGTCAGCATTATGTGTAAAATTACATGCTGTCATGTTTCACCTTTTTAAGATATGTTCATTTGTTGTGTAAAATGTATACAAATAGACAACTCTAAACGTACATGAACCATGAAAATATCCACTTACGATACTTTGTAGTTAACGTTATGGGTGTTGTTCTGAACATCTTGTTCATATTAACCGTAAATTATTGTCCCCTTGGGGATGTGGCTGGGGGGTGGGGGGGATGTAAGTCCATGTCTCCCAAGGTATTCTTATATCTACCAGATTTTCATCATAATACATATGGTATTATAATTTAGGGATAGATTCATCTACACTTGCTAACTCCTCAGGGGATGGTGTAAATCCTTCTGGGGTCCATGCAGGTAGCAAATGTACTGTACGTCCCCGTGATCCCTATTATGGTGATCTACCTGCAGTCTATAGCATGTTTTTATGTTGTCATGTCATCTATAGTTCAAATGTTATAGATTTAATTACTAGTTTTAAATTCATATCTCTGATAATCTACGTGGTTGTTATACCGCCCTTGGTTGACCGTTATGAATAACTAACTTGATTTAGTCACCTTATGACTGAATTGTTGCCGATTTGACTTAAATTCTTAACTCACTTACTTACTCACTTGTCCATACATAATCAGTATTTACTAGGAATCCATAGGCACATTCATATTATACACTTGTAGTCGAACTATTCATCAGTAAACATTTTTTATAACTTTCCCTGCCCGGATTCGGGTTCAGCCTACAGTGTCGATGACTCATCTTCGCAGATATATCCTCCTTGAAACTTTGGTCGCACTTTGCCAAGATGTCAACCCCAGCGGAAATAGGAAAGGCGGGACAATTTTCTTACGACTTGATAGATGTGGATGGAGTTCTTCACATGGCTTTGATTGCAGAGAGGTTAAGAACTATGAAACAGCGACCCATTCGGCAAGATGATATCTTACTGTGTACATACCCTAAGTCAGGTAACATCACTGGGAAATATTTGTGTCCAAGGAATACTTTGTTAAACCTCTCCTTCAGGTATTGAACACCCCTATTATAATGTGTCTGAGTGGGGTATTCATGCTAAACTGCGGCATGGTATCCAAGTGAGCTAGCACTATAAAATCAGCTCTTAAGTCTGGGCTAATACAAGCAGCCAAACATACACATGCATGCACGTCGTCATATAAACGAAATATTCTTAGGTACGACGTTAAACCCCACTTAACCTCACCTCGATGCTCGACTCAGTGTAATGAACTGTTATGATTATACTATAAAAACGAAAGGTACTCACTGGACGTGGGAGATCCTCAACATGATCGTGGCAGGCAAGGCTGAGTACACCAAACACTGGCAGAACTCAGCCTGGCTGGAATACAGGACGGAGGAAGAACTGGAGACACTGGCATCACCACGGGTCCTCCACACTCATTTACTGCCACGGTAAGAATGGTATTCATGACGAATTTACAAAAAAATGTATATGCAACCATTGGTATCTATATAACTGGACAGCGGTAATCCCTCGCCGTCTCGTCACTTTATTACCCTTTCATAATTTTGTTGGGGCGGTGGGATAGGCAAGTGTTTAAAGCGTTCGCTCGTCACGCCGAAGACCCTGGTTCGATTCCCTACATGCGTACAATGTGTGAAGCCCATATCTGGTGTCCCCCTCCGTGATAATGCTGGAATATGTTAAAAATCTGCGTAAAATACTCATTCACTCACTCACAATTTTGTTACCTGATTTGCTTTCTTTCCACATACGTCAGATAAATTGCAGGAATACAGAAAGGGTGTATCCGTGTTTACATACAATACATTCACACAGGCAGCTGCCCGAATCGGTGTGGACGCTGGGGTGTAAGATTGTGTTCGTCCTGAGGAACCCCAAGGACTGTGCTGTGTCCTGCTTTTGTCAAGACAGCAGCCAGGTCTGGAAGGACGACGCCAAAGACACGGTCTGCTTTACAGGGTCATGGGACGACTACCTATCCTGTAACCAGGATGGTTACAGTATGGATGCCTTTACCATGTTTGATAAGACGACGAAATATGACGCACATGTTATATCATTAGTAAATTAAACAGAAAACATGCCACCATCATACTTAAAGGCACAATTTCACACATATATTGGGACTTATGCACACACTTTAGCTTCCTATTGATGCATTAAAAATACATATCCCTTACGACTTGCCTGAAATTGATAAGTGAATCGTCGAGGCGAACTGTTTCCAAACAGAGAACACTTGTCATATGGAATGTAAACAATTGCTCTACATCGAAAACTGTCGCACGTGGTGTTGTCGGTGTTTGCTGAACTGGTTTCAATCACAAGTGTTTTTGCGCCAGATGTTAGCGCCATTTTCAATAGGACTGAGTTCTGTATCCAAAGGAGTTATAGGATATTCGTAAAGAGCGCTCCCATACAACTCTATGGGGTTCGTTTGAAATAATGTTTTGTCAGTAGAGGGCGGTCGATTTAATGCAACGTTACATTAATTCTTTCGAACGTTTTATTGTTATACTGTAATCAAGATACATATTCTTTTCAGTAAATTACATGGTAGCTTCCAAGAAGGCTGATAGTTAGTATTATTGAGAGAAATGCATTCAAATCCCTTAGAGAAGTGTGGTTCGAAATTGAGTGAAAGTGCCTTTGAGATGGTCTGTTTCGCCAAAGAAAGAATGGCCACGACTCTGCATTACTAAATCGTGTGTGTAATTGGTAGTAATTTTACAAAGTGTCGAGTAACTTCTTTCACTAGCAACGGTTCATTTCTAGTATGTACTGCTTTGTTTCAGTGACGTATGGATCGATATTTAATTACATTCGTAATTGGTGGAAAACGGCTGAACAATACAGTATATGTCAGGTCCAGTATAAAGACATGAAACAGGTGAGTGACGGGAAAAGAAGAAACATTCAACAAATAAGTACTGTCATTTCAAAAGATAACAAGTGTTTGCCACTAATATGGCAATGTCCCCGCCGCTACAGAAGAATGAAATATTTATAACATATTTACTACTTTGTTATAGATACAAAAATATGCCTAAATTGACAGGTGTCTGTGTCCCCCTACACAGGCTGTCACTAAACAACAGTGCATGAGATATCACGTTAACAAGAGTTTGAAAAGTGGTCAAAGAGATGTGGTGACTTTGAAAAAAAGGTCAAGGTCACCAACATCGTCTGGTATCTGCGTAATCACCCAATGTATGCTGTCACCAAATGTGGAGACATCGGGTACAACAGTTCATGAGATATCGTGTTAACAAGAATCGGGACGTACGTACGGACGCTGCTGAATACATCGTCTCGTGTTCTGCGTTGGGGCGGGGAAAAAAATGTGGCGTATTTTGAGTGGTTGAATGAGTTAAGACTTATAGTCACATCGGCAATATTTCAGCCATATCTTGACTTAAAAAGTTATCAATCGATAATAAACGGAATGAAATTACAAAAACCTGTCGACGAAGGGCAGTAAATTAACTAGATTATCCCAGATAGAAACGTAAAACCAGTAATTAAATCTAAAACACTTTAACCATAGAGGACAACACAATATACAACCAGGCTGTAGATCGACCATAGGGACTTACAGTGCCCTAGCTGGATACACCCTAGCTGGATACACACCATCCCTTCAGCCGCTGGCGATTGCAGAAAAGAAATCGCCGAAAATCAGAAGAACACAAATAGCTTGAATATAACTTTGAACGTTTTCGGACTTACGTACCCTCTCAGGAGGACAATAATTTTTGAGGGGACAGCCACTATCAAGCTCAGCTACGTACCAATCTAAACTACCAATAATAAAATATATCTTACTTCACACACAAATGTCGTTTTCTGATTGGCTGAGCGCTCTGTACCCAGCGAGTAACATTTTCCATGTACCCCGCTGGGAATGCTGAACTCATTTGGTACTTCGTAGTAGTAATTCTGTATCTCGAGTAACATACTGAATGACGTATGATGTACGGTAAGGGAAATACGTTGTTCACTGGTCCCTCGGGACCCATGGATTGATATACTCTCGATGTTTGTTTATGTTCTTGGAACATAAAGAAACATCAAGAGTGCATCAGCCCATCTCCCCCTCGAGACCAGTGAACAACTTATAATGCATATATTTACAAATTATTCATCAAAATTTAATCTAATAAATCTATTTCTTTAAAAACACACAGTATTAATGAACTTAACAGTACTATAATGATACTTAACAGTTGTGGCGTATTGTGACTCTACTCCATATAGAAACTTGTTGATGAATATGTGAGTAAGTCTCACTTAAATATGAAAATATAGAATGAATGGGAACCAGCGCTAGCAGAGTTGTTAGAATACTTGTCATATTTTGTATTATAAGAATTGTCTACTGTGTAGAGCTGCGAACAAACATCTTCACTACCTGAAAGCGTGGAACATGGCCCCTTATAATTATGTTTCAAGACGATTAGATATAAGAATAATGGTTCCCCATGTATGTTCTCAATGTATGTGACACCACTGTCAGTGAGGATAAAATTATATCAACAATGACACCATGATGCTAATCCTTTGCTAATACTATCTCGTAAAGTTATCTGCTCAAATGGTAGCGATATGGGAATGGGCCATCTAATTGTCACTATCTATTTTATTTGAAAAGAATTGTGTGAACGAGGTAAGAAGAATGGCTGAATATCTTGACCGCCCTCTGCCGGAGAAAACGTACGTGGAAATAGCAGAGGCGTGCTCCTTCAGCAACCTGAAACACGCCAACGAGAAGATCAAGGATCAGACCTACCACTTCCAGTGGCAACAGGGAACAAGTGGATACTTCAGAAAAGGTGAGTACTCAGTTGTAGATAAAATGCGAGCCACTTCACTCGTTGAAACTAGGTTGAAACTAGACTGTATGACTGACTGAGTTTGATTTTACGCCGCTTTTAGCAATATTCCAGCAACATCACGGCGGGGGACACCAGAAATGGGCTTCACACATTGTACCCATGTGGGGACTCGAACCCGGGTCTTCGGCGTGACAAGCCAACGCTTTCACCACTAGGCTACCCCACCGCCCCTAGACTGTATGAGTAAGGCTAACTCTGCTTATAACAATAGCACATCAAGTAACTATTTAAATGTGCTTCACACATTCCATCATTGTGAGTGTTCCAATTCGAACTATTACGAGGCACCGAGCCACTCATGCATGCAGTAGAGATACGAATGGAAATTGAGAAAACATTTGAGGAGCGAGTCAGTGAGTGGGTTTAGTTTTACGTCGCAATATACCAGCTATATGGCGTCGGCCAGTAAATAATCGAGTCTGGATCAAACAATCCAGTGATCAACAGCATGAGCGTCGATCTACACAACTGGGATACGATGATATGTGTCACCCGATCCCGTTAGTCGCCTCATACGACAAGCATGTGTTACTGAAGATCAATTCTAACCCGGATCTTCACGATTACCTTTGAGGAGGCTAAACATATTAACTGCACAGTGTTACTGATTTATATTAATGATTGAGCTTTGTAATGGAGACGTGATGGGAACAGCATGAGGCGTTTAAGGCAAAACGATGAAATGACACTTAATTTGCGGATCAACTACCCTTTTCACCCAGTTGTATTCACTTTTAGAAGAAGGAGCCAGTGAACACCGTGTAATGCAAAATCATACTGGGATTGAGCCAGGCAATCAGTCAATAGTTTATTTGCTTTTAGGCAACAGTACAGTACTATTTACATAGACAATAAATCGCACGAAGCGTTATGAACATAATAACGATTTACTTAATACAGTTGCGTGATATATTTAATAGGCTACATTCTTAATCATTCATCATTATAAGAGGTCATTAGAGATATAAAATTATGTCTTTCTGGTAGTTTTAGAAATGTTTCCGGTATGTATTTCTGCCTAATATTATTAAGATATGCACATCAAGTGCATTTCATCTTCTATTTTACCATTTTCACAAAGTCGACAATATCGTTCCTACCTGGTAATACCCTTAGCCCTGTCGGTTTCTATTGTAGTTGTAAAACTCCACACCTTAAACTTGCTAATAATTTTCTATACTTTTGTATCATTGCAAAATTTAAATATCGTTCTCGTTCAAATATAAAACGCCCAAATGTACATAATTCTGAAGACATTTCTACACTGGCATACCATTCTGTAATTTCTCTCATCCTTTGTACAAGTTGCAATGCACCGTGCATAATGTGGCTAAACAGTATGTTTCTGGAATGATTTTGCGGCGGAAGCCATTACGTTGGACCATGTCCTAAATGGAACTATGTATTTCTTACCTGCCACGTTGAAATAGTGAAACATATATTCGAAATATGCGCAATTGCTGTTGGAAGAGTGTTTCTGTGTATGTTCTTGTCTGTTTGTCGGGCACGCCCAGGAGATGATGACCGAGGACAATTAAGTCATAAACAGACCTGGATTGTTTGTAGCGTAGAAGAACTGAAGCCTGGGTTACTTAATAATCAAAGGCAAATATGAATATAAGTTTTGTTCAAGAAATAATTACGTGTACTTTTAATGTGTTTTTTTCGTTTTCCAGGAAACACCGGTGACTGGAAGAACTATTTTACAGTCGCGCAAAGTGAGAAGTTCGACAAAATATATGAAGCAAAGCTAAATAAACCGTTCCCATATTGAAATGAATGTTCGAAATGGTTAAGTGAAGCAGCAAGTGGTAATATGTTATACATCCTCCATTGTCAATACCCCAGAAACGCCACTATTACACTTCAGTAAGAAGGAAGGTTCAGCACTCATTCAATATTTTGTCACTTTATTTTGAACACCTGGGATGATGTCATAGTTTTTTTATGTTTTACTTTTGAAACTCGAGTCGTTGCAAAAGACAAAGTTTATTTGATCGATGTTTTGCTTGGATGATCAAACATAACATGAATAAAGCTGATATTGACTTTGTTTTTGTGTGTGTTTCATTCATAGTATGTTCGATTTTAACCCAGATATAGTTGGCTGCAAACACAGAATACATGTCCACTTGTACATGCGTCTGCGGCACAACAGAACAACACTTATCGTTGTGTATGTACAAAACCTTGTTGGCTGGCTGCTACAACATTCCGTTCTCTTTCTCTCTCTCTCTCTCTCTCTCTCTCTCTCCCTCTTCCCCCCCCCCCCTCTCTCTCTCTCTCTCTCCCTCCCTGCGAGTGTGTGTGTGTGCTGGTAACATGTCGTTATGTTTGCGTGAAGGTGGGGAATGTAACAGGTAGATTGAGCAGTATAAATCGATTACGTCATGACTACCACAGAATGGAATGGTATCTTCGAACTTGTGTCATATGTTACTGTGCCTTTTAGGTGATTGATTTCATGTTGCATGTATTTTCCTTATAGGCTTCACGCATTTCATCCATGGGAGGAATCGAACCCAATACGTTCAAGTGATGAGCGAACTGTTAATCGTACTATACTCGCTATCGAACTTCGGACAATTGCTAATAGCTGATGTCATATATGATTCAGACCCATGCGTATACCACAATCATTTTGTACCGTGATAGTTCTATGAATATTTGTGTCCTTAGAGTGGTGATCTCTTTTCAGTTGTTGGCGATCCTCAGCCCCTTTCTACGCCATGTCCTGATTTAAAATCCTAAGTAAGGAATAAACTCTGAAGACTCGCCAATATTCGCACGGCTGACCCACCAAGCCGCGCGAATATTGGCGATTCTGAGGAGTTTATTGCGCTTAAACCTAAAATCATACATATTGGCTCCCTAGTGTCGTAACTCGTGCACCCGAACACAGCAATATTAATATTGGCGTCCTACAACTGGGTAGCACGGTATGCACGACACACACGCTATGAACACGCTCTACTGTGCACCTGGCAGCATATTGGAGGGATACAAAAGAAACGAAATATTTTACTGCATCCATTTCACCAGATGTTTTAATCCATGTCAGGCGAATGGGGTTCTTTATGCGGTGTCTTTGTTCCTCCAAAGTAATACATTTTCCGAAGCTTTTAAATGGAAGTATTTCAAGTGTGAATTTTGATATCACTCTGCAAGGTGACAAAAGTCATGTAGATACAGTTGGGATTAGTTCTTCGGATTAGGAATTGCTGTGTGAGTCGCAAAACCTAGAACGGGAATTTGACCAAATGAATAGTTCAGCAGATGATGAACTGATGCTTGCCTCTCAGCAGATAGAAAAAGAAAGTGAACAAACAACTACCAAACGTTTTGGCAACCCTCTCAGCTTCTGAATATCAAAGCTTGGAAAATCTCGCAAAAAAAAAAAAAAAATACAGAAAGGAAAGACGTTGGCAGTGCGGAGTTTAGATTCCTGGCAACGTGAAAGGGATGGGTTTGAATCCCAGTTAGGCAGCAAATTATTAAGTATTTCTGATGAAGATCTGAATAGGACGCTGAGTCTGTTTGTCACAGCAGTAAGGAACTAAAAGAGTGAGTGAATTTAGTTTTACGCCGCACTCAGCAATATTCCAGCTATATGGCCGCGGTCTGTAAATAATCGAGTCTGGACCAGACAATCCAGTCATCAACGGCATGAGCATCGATCTGCGCAATTGGGAACCGATGACATGTGTCAACCTAGTCAGCTAGCCTGACCACTGTAGACACCTCTTACGACAAGCATGGGTTACTGAAGGCCAATATTCTAACCCAGACCTTCACGGGTAAGGAACCAAAGGGGAGGTCAATACAAGGGAAACATAATTCATGAGATTCTTATTTCGATGCAGAGATTCTTGCGCCAAAGTGGTCGAGATGTTAACCTAACCACCGATTTTGCTTTTAGGGGTTTAAGAATCATTTTAGTTGCTAAAATGTAATCACTGGCACAGGCTGGTTTTGGCATGCATAGAAGGCTAGGCAAGCTAGCGTCATCACACCACAGGAGGAGGATGCATTGTGGGAGTGGGGTTTGCTTGGTGATGAGACCCCGGAAAAATTGCTTGAAACTGCTATTCATTTGAATTGGCCGTTTTCCATATAGACTTGACCAAAAGTACATGTCATTTAGGTGAGTGAATAATATGGTGATTACTTAAAATCTTAAAATTTAGAAAAAATGAAATTGATATCGTTTTAAAAACAGTTTGTTTAAAAAAAACATGACGACGGCTACAGTGCAGCTTGTATGCAATGTATGTACAACTTGACTGCAGGCCAGTGGGATGTGATGACCTGGGAATCGAACCCGCGCAGCAGGCACTTTAACCACTAGTCTACCTCACTGCCCATAGACGTAATTAATAACTGAGGTGGCCTAGTGGTTATAGTGCCTGCGGCGTGGGTTCGATTCCCCGCAAAGGCACAATGTGTAAAGCCCATGCGTTGTGTCCCACACCGTTATACTACTGAAATTCAAGTGCTAAAACTGTACACTTCGTTGTGGAATGTAACGGTGCTAAAATGAAATTTGACATGTAATAAATGGGTGAAAACATTTGTTTGTTTCTGTATTTCAGTCGTGGGGGTATTACTGTTTGGATTCAGCGTTAGGACCGGGTCGGTAATAGGGCGTCAATATTTGAAAGTAGGGCGCCAATATACGCGATGAAGTCTCCAATATACGAAGCTAGGTGGCCAATAAACGAAAGATACGGGCTTCCCATCCCATCCTTATTCGAGGGATATGTCGTGTAATGGAGGCAAGTTTAGTTCTATTTCTTATTACTCTGATATACTACTACTAATAATAATAAATCATCTTCTATAGCGTACAGTCTCCAAACACCAACTGATTGCTTGCGGCGATTAATCAGAATCTGATTCTTATTACCCCAGATAACCCAAGCTGCCTGTTACCCCGGACAACCCAAGCTGCCTAGAACGTTATAGTCACATGACTATTCACCTTGCCTTAGTTGAGACCACATGTATCACATGTGCTTCGTTGTGGGGCAGGACTGAAGTCCTAGAAACTCTCAAGAGTCAAGCTGCCAAACAAGGTCACCCATCCAAAGACTGTCCGAGCTCGACGTTGCTTAACTTCAACTGATTCGTGACCTGAGCTCTGTGCACAGGACCACACGTTGGTTTTACTGTCCTTCGTCGACAGTTTTTTTTATAACTATTTTAAGTCAAGATATGGCTGAAATACTGCCGCTGCGACTATTAACGTTAACTCACTCACTTACTATATTTTTTTGTTTCATGATTATTTACATCATCGTCAAAGCTCGATACTCTGAATAGTTAAATTTTACTATTGTTTCTTAAATGCAATACGTTTTTATACAATGAGTGGTGAGTGAGTGAGTTAATATTTAACGTCACATCGGCAATATTTCAGCCATATCGTGACGAGAACATTTGACATTTAAATAGAATATATATACAGAGATTATAAAACCTGCCGAAGGACAGTAAAACAACTAGAATATCACAGATATACATGTAAAACTAGTAATTAAATCTAAAACATTTTAACTTAAGGGGACACCACAATATAAAAATAGGCAATAGATCGCCAACAACTGAAGGTAGATCACCATACTAGGGACCATGGGGACTTACATTACTTTTGCTACCTGCATGGACCCTAGCTGGATTTACACCATCCCTTCAGCTGCTGGCGATTGGAAAAAATGTTAGCCAAAATTAAAAGAACAAGAATACTACGTTTAAAAATTTTGGCAAGTTTAAATTGACTTGGAAAGTTTTGGGACTTACGTACCCTCTCAGGAGGACAATAATTTTACGCTACGTCAACCCCCTTTAAGGGTACAGCCACTAACAATCTTAGTTACTAATAGAAACTACCAACAATAAAATATTTAACTATTTACAGATCAGTCCACAAATCTAATTCTTTTAAAAATGCAACTATTAAATGATAATTAACATTATAAAAAAGATCCTTCAATGTCTTGACATTAAAATACTTATCCCTTGTGATGGAATATTCAACACAATCAAGCAGGACATGCTTGACTGTGATTCTTTCATCACAAGGGATACAAAACGGAGGATCCTCACCTTTCAATAGGTACTCATGAGTATAACGTGTGTGGCCAATACGACATCGTCGTATGATGACCTCTTCAAATCTGGACTGACAACCCAAGTAGGTGTAACCGATAGTTGCTTTTATTGCATGTAATTTATTGATACCTACCTGGGTGTCCCACTTCTTCTGCATCAGATCACGGATGTAGGTTCTAATGCAAGCTTTGTAATCAGAGTAAGGAATAAGAAGTGGTGTCACAGATTTGTTGAGTGCTGCCTTGGCAGAAAGATCGGCCATTGTATTCCCAGAAATGCCAACGTGACTGGGTAACCAACAGAAGACGATGTCGCATTGGCCAGTAGCAAGTTCATGATATAACTCAATAATTTCTATTAAAAGTGGATGTTTACAGGATAAGTTTTTAATAGCCTGAAGACAAGAAAGAGAGTCTGAAAATATTATATATTGTTTATGTTTGGAATGTCTGTGGATATATTTAAGAGCTGTTAAGATGGCGTTTGCTTCTGCTGTAAAAATAGAACTGTTATCAGGTAGTCTAGAAGATATTGTTCTGGATCCAATGACAGTGGCACATGCCACTGCGCCACCGTCCTTGGACCCATCTGTAAATAAGGATTTGTATGTATTATATTTGATTTTTAATTGATTATATTCTTGTTTATATTGTAATTCATTAGTTTCAGATTTCTTAAACTTTGTCAGAGTTAGGTCAACTTCAGGCCTCACCAGTTGCCAAGGAGGAGAAGAAAGAAGACGAGAAGGAGATATATTTTCCAGCTCAATGCCGGCAGCAGAAAGAAATGGTTTAATTCGTAAACCAAGAGGCGGAACAAGAGAAGGCTTTTTGTTGTACAACTCCTCATAAAGAGGATGGAAAAC